CAAAAAAAATTCCTCCATGACCTTAGAAAAGCCATCTAATCATTCTGTGAAATAGGGATATTTGTTCTACCCCACTTTCTAAGTGCATTAAGTAAATAAGTACATCAATGTTTTGTGACATTCAGATGTTAACTCTAATGGCTGTTGCACAGATATGCCAGTAGGCAGGAAATTCTGTAGCTTCAGGGTGGTACACCTCTATCAATTATTCCTGATATTTTTACTGAATTGTTTATGCACAGGGTATATTACATTTTTCTTCCTTGTACAGAATCCCACATATAGGAAATATTAACTTTAACATTTATACAAGCAGAATTTAAATGTATGCACTGCAGAAAGGCCTTTTGCTATTCAGCATTTAGCCATCGAATCAATTTTTTACAGTCTTCACTCAGTACTATATTTTAATCAATGTTAGATAAATAAGGGCCTTGCTTTTTTGAATTACAGCTCCAGATTAAAATGAGCAATGACTGCATAATTTCTTACTAGTTAATCAGCATAATCACTGTTTGTAGATAAATTCAGAGTATATATTTCAGCATTTGTGTGATCTGATTTTCTAAAACAAATAATAATCCCTTTAATAATTATCACACATCTTAGTTCTTTCAGGAGATCAATTACAAAGTGTCAAATAACTGATTTTCAACTCAACAATCCCCTGAAAGGGGAAAGTGGAATACTCCTTGTACCATGGGTTGAAATACAAGCTTTACCCAACGTCCTGCCTAACCTTTGCAAGCTTTGAAATTGCAGCAAACTGACTCTGCCTTGGGTATTTATTTGCATCTTTTCTCTTTCCAGCACTGCTGTACTGCAGGTCTACAACCAGCCATTGCTTGCTGCCACTAACCACACTCTATTTCTTTTGCTCTTTGTGATTCTTTAGAGACCTTTATTAGTTACTTCTTTAATGTAAAGAAAGATTTTTTTCTTTTCTTTTCAAAGTGAAATTCTCTGAAGACTCTGAGTTAATCAATTTTCTCTCTACACGACGTACTAGGGCCTAAGAAGAACAGCATCCTAAGGAATAGCTTAGTTGCATGAAGTCCCCACCTCTAAGGATTTTAAAAGTCAAGTCAGACTGAAGAAATAAGAGCAATAACTTTCTTCTTCTATCCCTCAAACACTAACCCATAATACAGAGACCCCTACAACAAGAAATGCAACTTTAATACAAGTACAGCAGACAACTTTCTTAGTCCTATAGCTGTTCAGAAGGTTTTCTGGAGCCCAGAGGAAAAAGAGCAAGAAACAAGGTGCACAGTCTTGCATCTACAAACCTACTGCAGTCGTACAGTACCAGAGCAGAGCACTTTTGCCAGCCTGAGGCTTTAAAAATTCAGAAGTCAAGTTATCACAAAGCATGAGAATATGTTAAAATAGTAGTTGGAAGAAAAAATAAGCTAACCCAACTGAGTTATTTTCATTATTTTTCTGGATTTGAGACTTTTAAGTATGCTTGGATCACATTTCAAATCTTTTCTCTTTCTGCAATGGCTAAAAACTTAATCTAAGTCAGATGAAAGCAGTATAATTGAAATCACATCTAATTACTTAACTGCATGCATTTAAGTTTTTAAAAACATATAAGACCAACCACAACCTACAGCCTTGGCTGCTGAAAAGTAGTGCTTGTTTCTATCCTTATCAATTTTGCTGCCTCTCTTTTTGCTTTGCTTTAGTGGTCACAGAGCCCAGCAGCAGGGCTACCGGCAGCATCAGTGTGAGTGAGATCTCCTTCTACAGCTGGATGGCTTTAGTGATGCCAGCTGTGTGCTGTCCCTTATAACCTGGCAAAACTATGCTTCTCATTGTGAGCAGAAAGTGTTTTTCTTCAGGTCTGGGTTTGTTTGCTTTAATTAACCAGAGGGGAGATGCACAGAAGAATTCACGTCATTTGAAGCCATTGCATTTCTTGCTTCAGTAGATGAGATAAATCAAGATCTCTCATACTGTTTGTGTGCTTGGCTGTATGTTGTTTTTCATACCGAGTGCAGGTTTAATAGAAAAGAATCACAGAGACTGATAATGCAGATTTTGTGAATGGTAAAATCTCCATTAACCCTGCGTGGGGGAAAAAAAAAGGAAAAAGAAAAAAACCCCAACAACTAGCTAATGCTTAAGTAACAAATGCCACCAAGTGCTCATTTTCTGAACAACTCTATCCAGCTGAACTAAAGAGAAACCCTCTTTACAACCATAATCCTCAGGAAACAAACTCACAAAATCTTCCCATTTACATTTACTTATCCACATGCAGAGTAATTATCAGCTGGCTACATTACAGCCTGCAGAAGATAATGTCCCAATACTGAGAAAAATTATCTCCGTGCTTCAAAATCCACTCAGAGAAGCTCTTGCTATAAAAGGTAAAGTTGCATGATTTAAGCTTGATATTATTTCTGTCACTGTCATATCAAGTATTCTGAACATGAGAAATATGAAGCCATCTTTTGTTTTAAGTTCTGCTGTACCTCATCTTACAGCTTTGTGCATAACTGTATGGATGCTCTCTGACTGGTAATTGTAAAGCCCTATAGCTTTATTCTGGCAACACACATATGGAAGATGGTAGAAAAAAATAAAGACCAAAAGTTTATAAAGCAGACTTATTAAACATATCTAAGTTAAGACACTAAGTAAAACTTTTTGATTATAACAACTATTTTAAACCATCTCCCTTTTTCTTCCTCTCTTTTATTTTTGGTTAGAGTTCTCTGATGACATTTTTGGAACAAATCAGAACCCACTCTGGGACTCTGCCTAGAAGCACTGCATTTCTGCAGGATTCAGCTGTACTTCATAGAAGGTGGAGTATCAAAGCAACAAGAGTGGCATTACATTTCCTGCTCTCTGACAGCAAGGATGAAGTAAGGGAGATAAATATATACTTGAAAGAAACTGACTTTGTAAGAAAGGCGAGGGCCCTAAAGCTGTAATTCTAAGCAAGATAAAGTGCCTCTGTATTAAACCTTAATTTTAATCGAAATAATGCAAGAATGCTAAAAAGATAAGAGCTTGCTACAGTTATACAATGTAGGTTGATATATGAATTACAAAATAAAGTATCGACATTTTGTTGAACATGCAACAGAAGTGGTTAATGTAGTTACTTACAACTATAGGTGGTATGGCCATATGACATGCAGCTTCTGCAGTTACTTTCCTTCCTACTCATCTCCAGTCATTGATTTTTACATTTTTTTCTGCTTCATGGAGGACCAAACATTGTGTCTTTTATTTTGTTTAAAGTTATTCCAATAATGACCCAATGAATCAAGGTACAAACACTGCATCCCTCTTGTTTCTTTATAAAGAATAACAGTCACATCTGATTTGCAGAGCAAAGGGCAGCTTATCCAAGATAATGTAAAATTCATGATTTATTACTATTTTTTAAGATATTTTTCTTCTCTCTTTTTTTTTTTTTAATTTAAAATTATAGCTAACATGTCTGGCTCTATGTCTGCGTTTTAAGATTCTTCTTAGTAAATAAAGCATACAGTTTGCTTCTATACATGTCTCATTTCCAGATTTTTCTCGTCTTTGTCCCACTCCCCCAGGCTTCAGAGTACCCATCTCCATGGCAACACTTGATAAGGTTGGTGGGTGGTGTTATCACAGCAGGCTTCCACACAGAAGGTCTCAGCCATATGGATTATTTATGAACTTGCATGACAGCACCAGACCCACTGAAATACTTCTTGGACAAGGTTTTTCTACTCTCAAGCCAGTGATTCAAAGCAGGGCATCCTCACTGCAGTCAGCACCCACGAGTAATAAGCTGGGGCAAAGCATCCCAAAGGTGGTCACTCACCCATCCCCAAAAGCTACCTTAGCACTGCCTGCAAGTTTCTGTTACTCCATGCGAGCACCCACTGGCATCTGCCACAGACTGTAACCTGGTTGTACATGCCAAGCAGTGAAATTGAAAATCTGCAGCTTCTGAACAGACTACGGTCCCAGATATCCCACAAGTAAATAGCTGATACGACTTATACTGCTGTTGAGTGTTGCTGATGCAGATACACTGCAGTAGATTTATATTTCTGAGTTAATTCTTGGAAAAAACTAGCAGTTTGGCTTAGACATATTTTCATCATCTGATTTTTTCTATGTACTAGGTAATTTTTTTTGCTAAAGCTGTTGCATTTAGACCGTATTCATGCAAATAACCCATAACTTTTTTTTCTGAAAGGGTCCCTAGAACAACAGCCTATTTCTTTAAAACAACATTGTTTGTACATGTGCATTTTTTGAGCAAAGCATCAAGGGCTATGAGGGCCTGTCACATGCATCCACTTCATCCAATTATTTTTAGGATTTTATCAAGCTCAGTCTTAGAACCCAATAGATTTTTTTCTAGGAAACAAAAACACTGTTTCAGTTCTCAAATAAGCATTCCTGTTTTGTTTTGGTTTTTTAACATAGACGATACCCAAGATTTAACAAGTGTAATCTTCCTAGTTCTCTTCCTAGTTGTATTTATTATGCAGACATCTGCATCTGAATTAATTGTGATAGGCTTCCTTTATGATCAATAAGAGGTAGGGATTTTTGAGGCACAACTGATCAGATTTATTGTCAAAACCTACTAACTATTGTTATTAATTATACTCTAAGCACCATAAAAACCACAAAGAATTAACAGGGCAGTTTGGCCAGCTGTTTTTAGAGGAAGGTTTCAGGTGCTTTAACGAGGGCTTCAGATCAGCCAGTGAAGCTGTTACAAACTTCACCCTATTTTCCTCTCTTTCTAATATTCAGTCAGACGCTACATAAGTTAAAATGTTCCACGTTAGAAGAGCTCTATGGTTTATATAACGAAGCTGACTGTTCATCTGAGGAAGTCTTGCAGTTATGATCATCAATTGGAAGAGACACTAAGAAAAAATGTTTGGTGTCAGGAAAATAAACAAAAATAACAGAAAAATAAAGAACATCCACAGGAGAAGAAATCACAGAATGTAGGAACTACATTAAAATTCAACCTTGACAGAAGCTTTGTCATTCCTCTTCCTTGGATAGAAATTTGTAGCTGCTGATCGAGAGAGAAGACCTAGATATTTAAGATATTGCTGAAGAGACTCAGCCAAATTCACATCATTTTCCAGATGAGATTTTCTTTCATGATCTTCATTCTGTTCCAAAATCCTGCACAGCAAAAGCAAATAAAATATCATCAGCCTGCATAACATACAGCATGCCTGACAAAAAAGTCACTGTTTATACAACAAAACCCTGAAATTAGTTCTATTCAGGAGTTCTTAACAACAACAACAAAAGACACTTTTAAAGTGCCTTTAAACCACAAATATACAGAAAATTCAATGCTTAAAAAAAAAAAAAAAAGCTCAAAAAACAGACACTGCTAACAATTTATTGCATGAATCAAAGTTAATGATCCAAGAGTACATCAAATAAATGCCGACATGGAGGCAGTCACATTCAGAAGAAATTTGTAAAAAAAAAAAAAAAAAAAAAGAAACTATGCATGTCTAAAATGCATCCCAAAACAGACATGGAATGGTTCTGAGATTTCAAAACTTTGCTACATGATAACAAGAAACAGCACAGTTTCATCCACACGTAATTTACAGAATACATCTACTCCTCCTGGACTAAGCGAGTCAGCTTTAGCAAAAAGTTTAACAAGGAAATACTGAGATGGAAAACAGCATCTCTCGTGATCTTCTCATGCACTTGGGAATCACAGAATAGCTTTTTCCTGATTCTTTTAGACAGAACTCACTGATGTTTGTGAAGAAGAGCTAAAAAGGTGATTAAACAACAGCAGCGTAGAAGCTCTTACGCAGGCCTCTGTGTAGAGTGCTGTGTGCAGTGAATCTGAATTATTACCACCTCTCCTCATCTATCTCAACAACACGTCAATGATTATGATAATTTAAATGTCAACACCAGCAACTATTTCCCTCCATGTGCAAAACAGCAGAGGGAGGATTCTCAGCCTGCTTCCTTGCCTGTGAGTGGCATACTGTTCACAGAATATTTTGAATTGGAAGGGATCTTCAAAAGTTATCCGGTCCAACTCCTCTGTGATGAACCAGGACATCTATGGCTCCATCATGTGCTCAGAGCCCTGTAGAGCCTGATCTTGAATGTCTCCAGGGACGGGGCATCCACCACCTCTCTGGGCAGCCTGTGCCAATGTTTGTTTTGAGGGAAGTGTCAGCATTTCCTACCTATGTGCTCACACACATCTTCAGTGAAGAACAATTCCAGGTGGAGCAGCTTTCCAGCTCAGGAAGACAAGGCATTATTTCGCTCTCAACACTTCCAGGCCACTGTAAGCTCACGTCACGGTGCATATTTAGGGACACAGCTTGAAAGACTACCGTTATCTCATTTTCCAAATCTTGGGTATAATTATATTACTTCATGCATAGTAGAAGCAACATTTCCTTCAATGCCCGTAGCTGTATCTAACGCATGTCTTGACTAATTTCATACCGATAAATAAATTAATGACCTAATTTGCTGCGGTAGCACTGCAACCAATAGTTCTCACAGGGTTGCTCACTTTGAAGAAGCAGAAACAAAGCCTCCACTTCCATCCACCAAGAGGCAGATCCTAAGTGAGGAAAATTTCATTTTTCTGCTTCAACAAGGAATCTGTGTGCTTCAGAGATGCATCATGGAGCTGGAGGCCTGGGTCTCACTTGCCCCCTGGCGGGTGTGACTTCCACAGCAAGTCCTCAGCAACGGGACCAGGGCTGTGGAAGCCTTCCTACATTTTTCTATTTTCTCAGCCTGGAGGTCTCCTCACACCTAGGACAATTTACACAACTCTGAGACTTACCCAATGCCTGTGAACCCTCATGCTCAACTATACTGTCACTATCCTCTCCTCTCCCCAGAATATACCTAAATTCACTACAAGAAAGGACAGCCTGTATTTCCCTTCCTGTGTTCCCATGCTGAGGGCCTCCAAAGTCATTTCGTGTACCTTCAAGACTGTGCAACTCCGATTCCACCAGCTACCCCCGTTGCTAAGAAAACAAAGGTAGGCTGCCTGGAACATTATAGAGAGCTTGAAAGTTTTGCTTTCTGCTCATTCTGTTTGTATTTTTCTTGTATTCCAGACTTATAAATTCTGCAGTATGGCAGAGGGTGGATGCACAGGTAAAATTATCCAACTACTTTTAAACTTTAAGCCAGGCTAAAACTGTTCTACACTTTTAGAAAGAGTTGGGCAATATGCTTTCTGCTTCAATAGAGATGAACTAATCCAAACAGGTTCTCATCACAGAAGGTATCCCAGTTTAAAGCACTCATCTTTCATTCATCATTTAATTCCAACATCTCCTTTCTTCGTTAGCTTTGAAAAGGAAGGGAAAATGGTAATACTAGACCAAATTCTGCCCTGAGGATTTCCACCAGAGCTAATGGGTACTGAATGCTCAGATAAAAGACAATTTTTAGGTTAGCTTTTCAAACTATTATTTATACTATGTAATTGCTCTCACCGGCGCTAAATGCAAAATCTGAGATGTACTTTTCCTAATATCTCTTATGGAGATAGTAATTGATCTCAAATTATGTTTAAATTCTGTATTAGACGTAATATTTTATATTACAAACTGAAAAATAACAATTAAAATATAAAAGGCTAACAAAGGATTACATTTCAGTTGAAGACAACTTTAATAAAACCCTCCAAGTACATCTGAAAGATTTGTTAAAATCTTTGTAGTTCAGCAGTATGTCACTGTTGTTCATCTTGTTAACACAGAAAGTCAAACACATTAAATAAGCTATTATTGAAACCGAATTAAAATATTTCCTTTAAATTCAACAAAATGATTTTGGAAAATGGATGAAAGCGCAACATCTGAAAGCACCAAGTGAGTAAGAGGAATGACTGCCAGTTGAGTTCTTGTGCACTTATTTGGGAGTATATTCAGTTTTAACTTGTTCTGAAAAAAGAATGCATTCAAAGAACAATAATGTATAAAGACAATAACCTAATTACATTTATCCACAGAAATAATTACACAATTCCTACAAGAAACAGCACTTTGGGAGCTTCTTCATGGAAATACATGAATCTCTGCACCTCGGTATTAAGTTTTTCTAGAATGTTCTCTATTAATAGATACCACAATTTAGAATAAAGAGATTCACCTTTTAAAATGCTGTGAGAATCTTATTACTGACTTGATGGTTTTATTATAGAAACAATGCTATACCCCACTTTATAGTTTTGAAGCTTGTTGGAAACGTTTCTGGTTTTGCCTAATTGCACCAATGAACACAACTGACATTTATTCCCAGTGCGCAGAATGGGTTTCTTTCCCTTTATCTTGGATCCTCTTTTAAGAACTTTTTTTTTGTTGTTTTTGAAATTTAATAAGGACCCAGGAAATGCCATGTACACTCCAGTTACCCACCAAAGAACAAACTTTCATCTTGAAATCAAGCTCCCCATTTCAGGGATTTTTTAAGATGAAATCCATGTCTTCTATTAGATTTCATATGCAGTAAGTTAGCCTAAGTCAATTTACCTTTCAAGTGTCTGGGTCTATCTTCTTGCTCTCACTAACACTGTGAGGATTAATGACTCATTAATATGACTTCATATTGTCTTATTACACACTTTACTCTTAATAAAAGGTCTTCATGTCATAATGTTCCTTTGATAATCAGATACCTACACTAAGTTGCTTTTTAAATTATTTAATTATTATCTGATAATCCTTTAGCAAGTATATGTGCTCAATGGGCTTAAAACATTTTATCAGAAACTACAAGAAGACAGGGAAAAAGTTCCTACTGTTCTCTGACCTACAGAATACATTGCAAATGGACAACCAGAAAAATCAATTAATGTTTTAAACTGTTGGCACATAAGATAATGCTCTCAGAGGCACAGCTTGGTAACTTCAGAAAATCTATCCACAACGGGAACTGCTCTAAGTGGAACACGTTTGAAAGTCTGATGTACCTGAAGTGCCTAAAATGTCAGTACACAATTTTTTTTTTCATGTACATCTCTAGTTCAAAATACAAAATGGCTCTAATCCGATTCCAACAGGAACTCCTAAAAGTGATCATCTGTTCCTAATCTAAACCTACACTGTTTCTCACGTATCTTCTTATATATTTATTTTTTGTGCAAGTATGAATCGGGAACACTGCAGAATGCTGTTTTGATTTTGCAGAAATCTGGCCTATTTTATCTTAATCGCATGAATAAAAGTTCTAGATATACTCATTATTCCCTGGCAGTGTTCAAGAGGCATCTGGACAACGTGCTGCATGATATGGTTTAGTGCTAGTGGTGGCGATGGTGATGAGGAGACGGTTGGACTGGATGTTCTTATAGGTCATTTCCAACCTTGTGATTCTATGATTATATATTAAAAAAATACAAGATCTTCAAAATAATTTCTGATAGCACACAGAGTAACACACACAGTAATGGCATTTAGAGCACCTAAGCAATGAGAACAGATTTTGGATACTACCATGTGAAGTTATCAGCTTTATGACAAATGATAGATTGCTGTCTGTTTTTACAAGTTAAGCTTCTATCTTACTGCACTCCTGAAGTGTATCATACTGTGATTATAAGACATGTTTCTGTTTCTTTTATATTGAATACAGTGGAATATGCGCAAAGCACTGGGTCAGATTATGAATTAAATCAAAACAAACAGAGACAAAACAAAACTGAAATGCTTCCTGTGAAAGAACTGCTGGACAAATCTGCTTTTGAAAGCCAGTCTTAAGTGCAGCTGGCTGAACTGAGACTAGACAGTGCATGAACGTCTAGCAGACCTGATCTTTGGATTTTGGACACCTAAACTAACAACTTCATATTTTCTTAGCCTGATGATAATAAGAAGAAAATGGCTGAGAGTTTTAATCCATTCTATTCACTATTCCTACCAGTTCCAAGTGCTGTTGTACAGTCGTTCTCTATTTGTCACACACAGAGCAGTTTTAGCAATGCATTTAACTCAGCTTCAAATTCCCACCATTTGCCAAGACTCCTCAAAGCCTACTATGCAAAAATACCACAGAAGACTTACCTTCCTGTATCAGATGCTTCAGATGCAAAGATGTCAGGGTGTCTGTTGTGGATTTTGTGGATGTTTGAGAGCTCCTGACCAATGACATGCTGCGTATAGTCATCTTGCCAGGTAAAACCTGAAAAAACACAGACAAAGAAACAAAAAAAAGGAAGTCACTGTTTAGGAACTTGAAATTTTGTCAAGAGTATGTCCTATATAAGAAAAAAAAACAAAACAACAGCTTTGTTGAACATGAATCCAAGAGTAAACTAGAGACTCCTTTCTCCTGTAAGAAATTTTGTTAATCAAGCTTTTCCTAGCATGACAGAAAGACAGAAGACAACAAAATGAGATTTGAAAGACTTTATTTTTACACAACTCTAACTTCTTACAATTTTTATATACATAAAAAAAGAGTTCTTTGGGGATAGCTATTGAAAAGAGATATTTCAGTAGCTGGCCATTAATAGACAAAGCATCTTAATTCTGAACACTAGTATCCATCAAATAGTTGTTTCCTAGAGGTGATTTGTTCACTTCTCCCCCATTCTCACCACACTGACCCTTCTCAGCTCTCTCCATTAAACTACACTTTTAGACTGCTAAAGAGCTCGTACTGCAGTGGAAAAAAATGTTTTGAGTTTTAACATAAAACATGTGGAGGTCAATTTATTTTATCTTTATATTAAATGTTGTGACAAAGAACTTTACAACAAGGGGGAAGTAGAACTGCAAAGGCAAATTCCAGTAATTACTCATTAATTACATGCACTGCCAATCTCATGGCAATTATACTTAGAATAATGATATGATTATAAACATAACTGTTATCCAATTTGTAGATTTTAGATGTTACAGTAGGACTTTAGTTCACAGAACTTGCCTGTGTAATTATCTGCAATTATCTAATAACTAAAATCGCATAATTGCAGTGAATTTCTTTTACACCACGCACTATAAACCACCACAAAACCCCCAAATGAATATCGATCAGAGCTCCAGATATGGTGATCTTGCTAATACGTTCCTAAAAGAAACCACCTAAGCAAAAATCCGCCCTCGGTGCAGATGGGAAGAGACACATCTGCCTGTTAGAACCAGCCTCTGAAGAGGCAATTCTGGTTCGGTTCTACTTCAGGCACACTCTACATTTCTGCTCCATTCGCAGTCAACAACAGATGTGTTGGTATAGGCACACTCAGGACCATCAGCCTCAGCAGAACCCAGAACTCGGCCATCTCACTTCTTGGATGAGTGCTTTATCCAGCAAGCTCTTCAAAAAGAGTTGAATTCTTTACATTCTTACAGGGCATGAAGATTGAGTTCATTGTCTGTTTACATAGGCCTGGATTTTACAAAGTACTTTAAATAGGGTTCATTCATTCTGCCAAAGCAGATGGTTCTGAGCATGCAGAAGTATAAATAACTGTAGCATTTATCAAATGCTCAGTTTCAGTAGGAGCTAGATAAAGAAGCTGGGTGTAAGACAGGCCTAAGGAGTATTCAGACTGTGCTGCTGTCTGGGATTTAGGCAAATTTTAGTGGCGAAAACTCCCAGTTTTGGAAAAAATATAGGTGTACTGCAGCATTAACTTCTGTTTTTCTTTTTCTTTTTTTTTTCCCACTAATGAAAATAATAATAAACAATGTGGAACCCTGTAAATATGCATGGGCTTCCACAAACAAAAAATCCTCTTTGATCCCTCTTCTTAAATAAAAATGTTACCCAAGTTTATTGAGAAAAAACTTCACCTGAAATCACGGTAGATGTTAATGGGTACAGGAGATTCCAGACCACTGGGAGAAGGAAGAATCTCCGAGATATTTTTAGATCTGATTCATCCTTTTCAAATGCAAATCTCACTTTTTCAGATGTGCCATAGAAGTAGATGGACTCAAATCAGTCTAAGGCCGCTCAGAACAAGTTTGTATGTGAATGCACAAAAATGGGTCACGTAGCACATACAATTATCTTAGTGTAGTGGTACTGAAATTATTTTTGCAGGGAGGTTTATATAGATGTGTTTGTTTGAGTTTACATCTCTATTGTCTTTAATACTGTAGCATTACACGTTTTTAGTGGTGCTATAAATTCATGTGGAAGAAAGAACTGCGATAACATTCAAGTTTAGAAGTGCAACAAAGTTTGGGTGAAATACACATTTATATGAATAATTAGCATATCTATCAAACTACTAATTTATGAACCGTGTTTCCAAAATCACTGCAATTTCCCTTTCCAACTCCACTCCAACACTGGCCCTATTAAATACTAACTATTATTCAGTAATTACTGTAAACTTTGAAGAAAAACACACAGAATCTCTCTCAAGAGTTTTGTTCAAATTAAAGCATGAAAGAGCTCATCTCTGCAGCATCTGCATGAAGACAGGAAATTAATCTCTCTCAGTCCTAAGCAATGTATTTGGGAGCAGACAGAGGTGTCATTAGTTAGGTATGTCTTTATGCCTGCAGAAAATCGTTCTGGAAAAAAAGCAAAGCAAATCATTGTGATCCCAGGACTCAATGGCCATGTGTATTTTATTTGACTGAATGTATTTTTTTTCTCCTGCTGCATAATTTTAAGATACAGTACTTAATATGGACAAAAAAACACACAGCTGTGATGTTAAAGGAGTACCAATAAATGAAAGAAAACAGAACATTTATTACAGCTTAAGAAATTAGAATTAAGGGAATACGCTTTCTCAGATGTATCTCCCAGCATTTCTAACTCAGATAAGAGATAGAATGCATGGATGAAAATGCATATTTTATCTAGTTCCAGGAAATCTCCTCTCTGCAATTAGTTAGCATTGCTATTGCTTATGTAACTGCCTCCAGAACTGCAATGTGTTCAAAGCCAACCTTACACCAATCGTTTCCCACCATTGTTTCAGTTTCAAAAAAGCATCTCTCCCACACACTGAGCTCAACAGAATAGCACATTCAAGAACTCTAACACCACACTGACAGCTGCAAGCAGAATTAAAGTTGAGAAGGAGCATATGACGCCGGGTGGTGATTTCCTGTTCCCTTTGTCTGCCATGTCACACCTAGCGCCAGCGTCCCACTCTGCACCCAATTACAGCGATTTGTCTCCGCTGGCTGAGCAGGATCACAGGGTGCTCTTGTACACACATTACTTCCATGTCAGTAGCGGGGAGTGGCACAGGGACACCCAGCCTCGTGAGCCCTGTGCTGCTGCAGGCCTGCCCAGAGCTTGCACTTCCCAGCCCTGGGTTCCCATCAACAAGCAAAGCCAATGCACAAACAGAAGGAGGCTGACGAAACCCAAAGTGATACAGACAAAAGAATTGCACTGAAAAGCACTGGGTTGTGAGTCCTCATGGGAAACAAACAAACAAACAAACAAAAAAACGAAAAAAACAAACCTAGAAATACAAACCTTCCCCACAAGAAGTAATGCTTCATCTTAGTGACAGTCAAAATTTTAATTATTGCTTTGGGTTTTAGATTAAAAATCAAAGAGTCACAGAATCATAGAACAGGGGTTGGAAGAGACCTTAAAGAGCATCAAACTCCAACACCCTGCCATGGGCAGGGTTGCCCACCACTACTACTACTGCTTTCACAAATGCACATTGGCAAAGAAAATATTAGGTTCTCCAAAAGTAGAATCAAAGATGATTTCACAACAATTTCATTTTTAACTTGCTTCATTGGTTTTGCCACACCACATTATTTTAAAGTAATCAGCATCCAAATATATATTTTCTTTTCTTGGCTGTTCAATTTTTCCATATATTGGCACCCTTTACTTTGGCTTGGACTCTGTTTTTCATCTTACAGAAATTTGATGCCTTTGCAGATATGTCTGACCACATCTATAATGCATGCAAATTAATTAGCAACTGTTGAAATCTTCTGCTACTTCTCTCTCTTAATTTGCTCTTAGAATCATTGGCACAAACAATTTTTATTCATCTGAATGCCCAAGCAGGAAAACTACAGCTTTTAACTTTTAAGGCAGTGTGGTGTACATCAGCAGAGCCCGAATTAAGTCCTTTGCAACACTAACAGTTCTCAGTGCCTGAGGATTTGTGCAAACCTTCCCCAGCAGGCTGGGAAGGATGCTCAGGCTTCACAGGGATCTGTGGGCACTTTCACTGAGACCTGTGTGTGACAGCCTAATGCAGGGCCCTTCCTGCTCTTGTGCCACTTGAAATCCAAAATGATTAGTTCTGCATCAATATTTTGGCAACAAAATGATTTTTACATATCAAGTCCATTCAAAGTGACAGGAGATTATTATATATTGGCAGAAACCTATATACTCAAGCCTGATCCTTCTTTGTCAGGAAAATCCTCGTATAAAAATGCCAAAAAAACTCAGAAGTATTCACACTTGAAGCCATAACGTATTACTATTTTTCAGTTGTGACATTATTTTTTTTCCACTTTTTGGTTTTATTATTCATTTTGTCCCTGTACAGTCTACAATAAAATAGGTTTTTCCCTGAGCTACCTTAAACTGCTTCTTCATTTCAGAGAGGAAATTCTCAGTTGTGGAGCTCAGAGAGTTTCATCCCCCATGCCATGTGTTGCAAACCATTAAAGCCTACCTGAGCTGTCAGAATACCTGCAGAGCTTGGAATGATTGGCTTTCTTCCCTAACTTTCACAACAGACAGCTCAACATATAGACGTGGCTTTCTGCAGGTTGCCCTTTCACATCCTCCAGAAGAGCTGCACTTCTTTGCAGCCCACATCTCCCTTTTCAGATCTCAAGAACAGGCCCAGTAATGTCCACTTTTCAATACTAAGATAAAATTATGGCTTTAATGATGAGTGTATATCAAAACCCATTTTCTCAAGTGGCATTTTTTCTACCTAAGAATGTAGCCAAAAGATAAAATCTTGATGCTTCCAGTTACAGAAAAGAAAACTAGAACTTCCTTCCAAGAGCAATTTTGTAGAACAACTGACAACAGCAGGTTAATGGCAAAAATAATAATGGAGAAGTTAAATCCACCTCTGCACAGTAAATGTCACAGTTAGCTTTCACTATAAACTGGTGTGCCACAGCATCTAACTCCCCTGTATCTTTGGTTTGGCATATTTATTTATTCTGAAAATTGTGACTGAAGATGGTTTCTGTGAAAGCAGAAGAAAA